GTGTCGCTCATCTCCCGTGACAGTGTGTACGATGTGCTGCGGAGGGTCTGCACACACCTGCAGGTAATGCTGTGCGTGGCTCCCATCCCGCTCTGCCTGTTTGCCATCCCAGCATCCCGCTGGCTGTTTCATGCTTTGGGCTGCACTGTTGAGCTTCACAGGGCCAGTCCTGCCCTCAGCATCCCGGCAGGATGTGACCTGTCCCTGTCCCTGGGGTGTCATACAGTGTCCTGTCCCGGTGACCTGTTCTGGGTCACAGATGAGAGGGACAGAGCCCTCGGAGTTCCTGTGCTCGCCCTTGCAGGGTGTGGAGAGGCAGTGTTTCTAATCTGGTGGCTATTCCTGTTCCACCACTATGCGCACTGCTGACTTTTCCCCAGATTTCCTTACTCACATAGTGGGAAAAAATGCCACGAAGTAAAAATTTGAATTAAAAAGCCTGATATGAGGAGGAAACCCGTCGCTCCTCCGGCTGGAGCGGAGAGGTGCTGGGAGCTCTCCTGCCTTTGAAGCACGTGGAAAGCGGTGCTGGAGCTGCTCCCAGTATTCCTGTTTTCCTTCTTCGTGATTCATCTCCTCTGTGTTGTGTAGGGATTTTGGGGAAATGGAAAGCAGCCCTGTCAGATCACAGAATCGTTTGAGTCAGAGGAACCCTTAAAGTCTGTCAGTGCAACCCCCTGCAATGAACAGGGACACCCACAGCTCCATCAGGTGCTCAGAGGCCCCCCCGGCATGACCTGGGTGTCTGCAGGAACGGGGCAGCGCTGTCTCTCTGAGCACCCTGTGCCAGGTTGTGAGCATTAAAGCAGCTCCTTTGCATAACAGCACACTAGTTGAAAACCTCAGAATCTAATTCTGTAACTCCCATTGGAGCAAGAAGAGGGAAGGCGGTCTAATCCTGTCTTGTTCTCTCTCCAGGTTTCAAGTAAGAAGAGCCTGAGCCTGAAGGAGCTGACGGAGGAGCCCGATGCCGTGTCCCTGGTAAGGGTCAGGATGCTCTGGAGGCTGAAGGCTCTGTCGCGATGCTTTAAAAGCAAAGGCCAAAGTGTGGGAGGTGTGCAGCCAGTGCAGCACTGCCACCCCCAGACACTCCCTGGGGCTCGCTGATGGATGCACAGCTTCTGAACGGTGTGCAAAGTGCCTCTGCTCTCACTGTGGCCTCCTGAGCTGATGCAGTTCGCAGCTGCCAGCACTGATAATGTGCTGGGCATGCGACTGAATCAGCCAAAAGAAAGGGACAAAAGCCCACTTGTTCTGTCGTGGCCGATGCTCAAGGAGCTGCTGCAGCTGGTGCTGGTCCTGGTGTGTGGCTCTGGGGGTGCTCACAGTATCACTGAGCCACAGTGGGGCTGTGCTGCTGTAGGGTTGGGGGGTCTGGGCTGTCAGCGTTGGATCCCTGCATGCTGAAGCAGGGCTGGTGACAGTGACTACAGGATAGGCCGTGTGGGCTCTGCGTGACTCTCCTGCTAAAACTCGTGCAAGGAGAGCACTTCCTTATGGCTCAAGGGGTGCCTGGGGGGGTTTGGTGGCACTGTTCACCTGGGGATCCCCACAGGAGGTGATTGTCCCTGAGGGCAAGTGGAGGAAGGTGTCACCTGCCTCGCTGTCCCTGTCCCTGCCTGATGCTGACTACCAGTGCATCCACCGGACCTCTGTCAGCAGCCTCAGCGCCAAGGAGAGCTTCACCTCTGAGGAGCCCCTGGCCTCAGGTGAGGGCTGTGCCCGTGTGGGGATGCTGAGCAGGAGGAGCTGGGCACGCTGGGCTGGAAGAGGTTGGGATGCTGGGCAGGAGGTGGAGATGCCAGGCTGGAGGAGTAGGGCACACTGGGCAGGAGGAGCTTGGGACGCTGGGCACGAGGAGCTGGGGATGCTGGGCACGAGGAGGTGGAGATGCCAGGCAGGAGGAGCTAGGTGCACTGGGCAGAAGCTGTCCATGCTGACTCCTCTCACCTTGCAGAAAGTGCAATAAACACAGAGGAGGAGCTGGAGGCAGAGCAGGGCTGCGTGGCAGAGCTGAGACCCTCCGACTACCAGCTCCTCAAGATTTTCATCGTGCTGTAAGTGTGCTGGGGGAGGTGGGATGAGGATGCAGGATGCACGTGAGCATTGTAACTGTTCCTCCCACCCAGGATCTGCCTGCTGGTCGTGTCCTCCTCCTACCTGGCATTCCGCATCTTCCGCCTGGAGCAGCAGCTCTGCTCCCTCAACCGGGACTACCTCTCCCGCGGGCACAGGAGGTGAGGGACCATCAGGGCTGTGCAGGCTGGGGGATATTTTGAGACAGAGCAGCTTTCCCCACCCACTCACTCTGCTGTTCCACAGGTGACCGTCACTCTGCACAGGACAAGGACCAGGCGGTAGCACTTTGTGTACAGAGCCAGAGAGGCTGGAGCAGTCTTCCAGCCAAACCCTGTGACTTGCACGTGGCCCGGCGTCCCCTCGGCCGTAACATGGGACCAAACTCTCCTCTCCTGCTCCCTGCAGGACCATCCGCTGGCTCGTGGCCATGGCTGCCAACTCCCTGCCAACCCTTTTCCTCCCTGGCACACCGGGGGATGACGGCTTGGGGGAACACAAGCCTCCCTTTAAGACTTGCTGCTAAAACGATCACTGGTTTGTATTCCAGATGAGGGTTTTGCTCAGAGATGACCCGAGGCTCGCTGTGAGCCCTGTGACATGTAGATGGGCTGCTTCTGCCCTGTGTGAAGCTGGGGCAGCTGCAGCTGCACCGCTCTTTGTTTCTCTCTGCGACCCCCGCTTCCACCCAGACATGCAGGGATGGGGGGTGCCATGCTCCCCTGAGCCCCTCCTTCCTGGAGCAAAGGGGCACACAAAGCACTTTAGGGTCCTCCACAACGGGGGTCCTTGCTGGAGCCCGTGCCTGGGAATGGTGCTGGACCAAGGCTTCGTTAGCCCCGCTCGCCTCGTTAAGATGTCCCAAAAGGCCTGGCTGAGAACAGCCAGGGTCACGTTGTGTCCGTACGTGTGTCAGCCTTTGTCACCATGCGGAGCCATTTGTTGGAACCCTTCCCCTGAGCTCACACGTCGGTGCTGCGGTGTGCTGGGGAGATAGGGGATACCTGTGTGATTTCTCTGTTGTATTTTTCCTGTTTTTCGGGAACTAAAAGTGCTGATGGGGCCAAATCCCTGAGCCCTGGGGAAGAGCTGGCTGTCCGGCTCGAGGCTGTGAACGTATTTTAAATGATAATAAATGGTGATTTTTCTAGCAGCGCTGTGAGCATCCTGGTGTCGATGCCAGGCTTGCAGCAGGATGCTCGGTGCTCCTGTGTGCTTGGCTGTGTCCCCTGGGGGCACGGAGAGGACGTGGCTATGTGAGGCCTGTCCTGGCTGAGTGCTGGGGTGGTCCCTGCTGTCCCTGTGCCACGGCTGGGGATGGTGGCGTCCCTTTGGAAAGATGTCTCCACGTGTGCCTGGCCAGGAGGCACCGTGTGCTCGTGTGGTGCTCCGAGTCCTTTCTCCAGCGCCGAGTGAGTGGGTCTGTAGGGATCTGGACAGCGTTTGTCTCTCGAAATGATGGGGCCAGGACAGATTTTGGGGGAACCCGGGGCGAAAGGTGCCAGGGACGAATTCTACGCCAGATGGCAGCAAAGGCTGCGGGATCGGTGCTGCGGCGGCGGCAGGAACCGCTTGGGGACAGCGGCAGGGAGAGACGGGCTGAGCCTTCCTCCTTCTCTTCCTCCTCCTCGAGCGGCCGCGGCCGTTCCCTGCCGGCATGACGCTGACCCTGGTGCACGTTTTCGGGATACAATACGAAGGGGACAAAGAGGGATGACACCTCATCAAGCTCCGTTCTAGGGTGATTCTTTCAGCGACTCAAAGTGGTTCTCCGTGCAGAGCTGAGCTCTCCTTGGGATTACTTCCTTGTATCTGTGCAGTTCTGGCTGATTTTAGCTCAGCGGGCAGTGTGTTTGGGGACCGAACTCAAGGCAAATGGTTTTGTCTTGGGTAGAAGAAGAGCAAAGTAGGAAGTATGTAACCATCTCTCAGTGCTGCTAAGCAAAAAGCAAACCCACGTTTTGGGTTGCGTTGTTTCCCAGCCCCAAAGGTGAGGTGCCCAGCCGGAGCCGCAGGGCTCTGCCCGCTCTGCAAACACAGTGCAGCAGCACACGTGTGCTCATGCGGTGGTGAGGGAAGCTGTGCACGTGGGCACTTCAAGCATAACCCTCCCAAGGCTCTGTAGAAATTTCTTCTGTGTCCCAGCACTGGAAATTGGCCTCTCCTTGTTTCTACAGTCTTCCATACAGCTTTGCTGGGAAGGTTTAGGATTTCTCTAATTAAAAGATGTTGGTGCTTGACCTCTCAATGTTGCTCGTTGCCCAAAAATGAGTTTTAGAGGTTTGCTATTATTTCATCTTGCGTGCCCAGCTCGGTGTTTGCACTGCAGCACCACCTGTAGGCTCCTCATTCCCCCAGGTTGGGGTGCTGTTCCCCAAGGCCTGGGCTCCGTCCTGCTGGAAGCTGGTTGTTTCCTCCTCCAGGTGTTTGCCTGCCTGTTCTGTGCCTGTTTGCTCTTGATGACGCCCAGGATGGTCCTATTTGCTTTTCTTTATGTAAAGAAACACCACGTAAAAGCTCAGGGTGCACCAACCCTCCTTGGCAGCTTGGCCATTTCCACCAGCCCTGCCCTCCTTACAGGACAGAGGCAGCCTGGGAGGCAGCTGTGTGTCACAGCCTTCAGACAGGCTCTCCAGGAGCCTCTCTCCCATCACCTCCTGTCCTCATGTCCCCTAGCAGTGCCTGCTCACAGCCTCCGCTCCGCCCACTCTGCTCTCAATCCCCCTCTAAAGCAATGCTTCAATCACACCACGCAGTTCCTGTGCTTGCTGCAGTGCCATTTTGCTTTAGCAGCTGCAGGAGCAGTGCCTGGGAAGAGGAGGACTCCAGCAGCAAGTCAAAGCCCCCAGTATGGTGCACAGGAACACATGGTGGGACAGCCGTGCCGCTGGGTGTTGGCATAAGTACCACAACTCAGTCAAGCGTCGGGTTTACTTTAAGTTTTATTTGTGGTTCCCCCAAGAAAGAAGGGACCCAGGAGTTTTATTCCTTCGTCCACTCCTCCCGCTTGAGTACAGACGGGGAGTTAACGCCACCGCACCAGACACAAGTATTTGTTGGCATTAAGCACAGCTCATCTGCAACGTCTCCAAGGTGTCACAGCTGGGGAACGGCGCTGGCCGGGCCACGTAGGACCTGTGCTCCAAAGGAAATTCCCTCAGTGAGGGACTTGGTGCCGCTTTGGGGTTTTTGGATCCATCCGAGCAGTGGAGGTGATTTTCCAGGGAGGAAAGCTGCACGCTGCCGGCTGCTCAATGTGGCCACGACTCGGAGCCCCGCTCTGTGTTTGTGTGTTTGGAGCAGTCTGTCAGGCTGCACCTACTTACCTTTCTTAAAAACAAGGGGAGCTGAAGACATTTATGCCCCACACTACGGCTGGCCATCGCCGTGCTGTGCTGGTGCTCAAATGGGATGCGCGGGGAGGTGCAGGTCAAAGGAACTCCTCTGCCTTTTCGAGGGTTGTTTTTAACCTGGATTTCCTCGATCCAGTTGGCACCCATGTGTTCTGAGTGTGGTCAGAAGGGTACTAGGGACCAACATCTTGAACTTCAAGGAGATTGTTATCTTTGGCTTTTGTACCTCAAATTCTGCCCCTTTGTTGTCCTTGTTTTTCGTGTTTTTGCTTGTTTGTTTGTTTTAAATTGGGGTAATACAAAAACTGTTTTTGTGCTACAGAAAGCACAGCAAATGATAATGAGGGTTGGGGAATGGTGCAGCACCCTCCCCCAGAATGGAGATGACCTAAAATCATGAAGAAAAAAATAAGACTTCAAAGACAGAGCGTCACTTTCCATTTCAATTAAGCTTTCTTTCCTAGGAGTTGTTTTCTCAGCTTTCTATTCACCTATTCATCTTCTAGCAGCTCAGAGCCAGGCTTTAATTTGTAATCAGAGCAAGCAGGGGTGGAAAAGGAGGAAAAAAAAAAGGAAGAAAAAAAATAGAGATACTTTCATACAGGCAAGGAGCAGCTATCTGTAGAACACCAATTTTTGCCCCATTTTGCAGTTCACTGCAGCATTTCCATTTGAGTCTGACCACTGGACACATCTCCACTGTCAAATGTTTGGGGGAACTCCAGCACTGCTGCTGCAAACACCCAGAGCTGGAGGTGCAGATGAGGGCTGTCCACAATAAAGCATTCTGTGCTTGGTTTTAACAGGCATTGCTAAACCAGGCAGGAGCAGCAATGCCCCCAGCTAATTAAAGCCACCTAATGAGGGTGAGTCGCTTGCTGGGCAGAGGTAGAGAAGTCTCTTTAGCACCCCATTTTGCCACAGCAACGAGTGTAAAAATCAGCACGGACAGGGAGATTTTTTTGAAAGCCAAGTGACTTCATTGGTGGGAAGCTGAAAGGCCGGTGACTTTCAGAGGAGACTAAGGCTTTGTGAGGAGGGCACTGTGGGTTGGGACCGTGCTGAAGGAGTTACATTCTTCTTGAGGGGAAAAATCCTGAGCGTGGGCACCTCCCTCAGGCACTGAGAGCAGTGACTTGAGAGCACCCAGATCACTTCTGTGCGAGCTTGGTAATGAGAGCTTTCCACTCACTTCTCTTCTGTGTGATGTAGGAAGGGGTGAGGAGCTGTAGCAGAGGCTCTTGCTGTTCCCTGAAGTACCCTTGGCACAGAGCCTCGGTGTTGCAGATCACATACATCCCGCAGTCATAGCTGTTCTGCTGGGCCGGCGCCTTCTCCTCCACGAAGGTTGCTTTGCCTCCTCTTTTCCCCAGGAAGGCCTCCAGTTTCCCTGCCACTTGCTTGGCATGGACAGAGTTGCACTTGCTGTGGGAATCGTAATGGGCGAAGCACTTTTTATCCCTGAAGTAAACCAGTAAGCTCCAGTGGGTGCCTCCTGCCGCCTGGCTGGAGTTATCGTTGATGGGCAGGAACACCAGCTTCTTGTGGAGCAGGTCCAGCGGCTGAAGGAATATGGCTATTTCTTCCTGACTAAGGGCACATTTGATGAACTGAGCCACTTCGGGGCTGATAAAGCAAATCTGATCGCTAAATTCTTGGAACTGGTCGCTGGCAAAGTACTCAAAGGCAAAGCCGATGATGTGATCGTTGAGCCAGTTTGGAGGATCCAGCAGGGCAACGTCTGACTGCCTCAGCAAGCTGTCCATGTAGCTGAGAACCACAGGGTCCATCCTGCACCCGGTGGGGCCGCTGCGCTCCAGGAAACTTCAAAAGCTGGAAGACAGAAAGGGTAGAAGAGGAATTACACAACTACACCTTTGACAGGAGACAACAAACACCCCACGTTCCTCCTCAGCACGCAGCCAGCAGCACAGCGAGTCTCCCAGAGCAGAATTTGAAGGATCAACACGGGCAGCATCTGCCAGATGCGAACTGAGAGGCACGCTGTGTGACAGGCTGAGCCGGGCTGTGGGACAGCACCGATTTCACGGCAGCAATCTTCGCCCTTGGTCGATCTCAGAGCAGTTCTGGTTAGCGGCGCAGCACGGTGCGGCAGTCACTGTGACCCTGCAGCCCCGCTGTCTGTGAGGGCTTCCCGAGGGCTGGCATCAGCACGGCCGTGTGCTCCCCCAGCACGAGGGCTGCTGCAGGATGAGCAAAGCGGCGGTGAGTAAAGGGAAGGAAGCACGCAGGGTGACGGACAGCAGCTCTGCGCTGCGGGGGCCGCCGGGGCGATTCCCTCTGCTTCCTGCGTGGGATTTCGCTAATTCGCGTACCAGCGAGGCAGGAAAGTCCACTAGATATCCGTCACCAAAGCAAGGCCCGCCAAAGGTAAGCGTTCTGCCGGTCACTGTAAGCTTGAAGGATTTTAATTAGAAATCACGTTGCCCAAGCGTGCTGTGATGTGGCGATCTGTAAGAAGGAAGGGCGCAGCGCACCAGGCGTCCCGGCCCCGTGTGGCACATGACGCAGTTCTGCCTTGCAAGCCTCACACCGCCTTCCTGCCGCCTTCTTTTCCAACGGCAGGACGCGCCGGAGCGGCCTGGCGGAAGGCTGAGGCCGGGCCCTCGCGGCCGCACGAGGCCCCGCGCCGCCCGTCCCGCGCTGCCCGCCGTTCCCTCAACGCCCGCCGCCCCGCGCCCTTCAGCGCGCCGCTCCTCACCTGCCGCCTCATCGCCCGGACGCCGGGCGCCGCCGTAAAGCAGCGCGCCGGGGTGTCGTAACGCGAGCCGGGCGGGGCGCGGCAAGGCGGGGCGGGGCGGGGCGGGGCGGGGCGGGGCCGACTCCTCCCCCTCCCCGCGCTCCCCCCTCCCTCCCCGTGGCGGCGCGCGCCTCAGAGCGGCGCGCGGGCAGCGGGCGGGCGACGCGAGGCGCCCCCCCCCAACCCCCCGCCCTGCTGCCCGATCCCACCCGCGGCGCGCGCCGGGACCAGGTGAGCACCGAGCGCTGAGGGCTGCAGAGGAGAGAGGGCTGAGGGGGGCACCGCGGTACCCCCGCCCCGGCGCGGCCTTTGTTGCGAGCGGGGGGCGTTGGGGAGCGGTCCCCGCGGGCTGACAGCCGCCATCTGCGCCGGGAGCCGGGCGAGGCGCTCCGTGTCCGCCGCGGGGAACGGCCGCGTCGCGGCGGGCGGCGGCCCCGCTCCGAACACCGCGGCTCCGCGCCCCCGTCCTGCCCCTGCTCGGTCCGAGCCGCACAGCGCTGCGCCGGGCGGGGACTGCGGGCGGCCCCGGGGCTGCGGTGCGTCCCTGCATCTGCACCGCGCGTCCGTGTGCGGCCCTCTGCCTTCTGCGTGCGGCCCTTGCCTTCACCCCTGTGTCCGTATACCTCCTCTATTCAGCCCCGTGCCTCCTCTGTTTAGCTCTCTGTCCCCCCCCCCCCGTGTCTGTATTCTCTCCCGTCTCTGTATTTCCCCCGTGTCGATATTCCCCCCGTGCCTTCTGCATCCTCCCCTCTTTGCCCCTCCGTCTGTCAGCAGCCCTTTATCTCGGTACCCGCCCTGTGCGGCCCTTTCCATCCCCGTTCTCCCATCCCCGTGTCACCCTCTGCCCCCCCCCCCCCCCCCACTTTCTGGAGGCACTCCGGGCACCGTCTCTTTCTGGAATTTTCCAAAATCCAGGAGGAACGGAACGCTCCCTCCCACCAGCAATCCCCGCTGTCCCTGCCCGGCGCTGTGCTTCGCAGGTGTCACTGGCAGGGAGCTGACAGCACAGAGCAGGCGGTGGGAGCCACATCCCATAGCGGCAGTGGCAGAGCTTTGCCTTGCCTCGCCTCGCTCCTGGCCCTGCTCTTCTCTATCGGTCTGCGAGGCTTTGGTGCGGGTTGGATGGGGCTGGCAGAACCGAGCAGTGTGACACACGGCCCGTCAGCTTTTGTCCCCTGGTCCGTGGGCTCGGCGTGATGCCGGCGGTGCAGCGGTGAGGATGGGGTGTTGGATTAACAGCCCGTGGGCAGGCACTGCACCCGTATTCCGTGCCAGTCCGTGGTGGCCTCAGCTGCCGTCTCTTACGCTAAAACTGAGCTTTCATCTCTCGCATTCTGCTGAGCACCTAAATGTCATCTTCCTGAGTTATTGTTATCGTGGCCATTTTGGTGAGCGTTCAGCCCTTTTGCAAGAAAACCTCTGAGAATGTTAAGCATGCGAGGTCAGGCGCCTGGGAAACATGAAACCCGGGGTTACCTGTGCAGCCTCAGCGCTGCCCATTTCGAGGTGCGGCTGCACTGGTGCTCCTCATTGCCTGCCCGTTGATTTCCCCAGGGATGGTCTCCAGCTCCCAGGGATCCCGGCAGGGATCCTCCGACTCACCAGGGAGTCAACAGGGGGAGTGCTGTGAGCACAGGGAAGCACCACTTCTCATCCCCTGCATTGCTCCCACTGCCTGGCACCGCACCCACTGAGGAGCAGGGCCAGCCCTTGCAGCTCTGAGACCACCCCATCTTCCTGAAGTTTTAGCTGCCAGGTGTTAGAAAAGCATTGCAGCGATCAGTGCAATCTGAAAGCCATTTGTCAGGTTTGGAGTGGTGTTTTCTCAGTGGGCACAGCAAAAAGCGCGTGTCTGGTTAGGAGGATGACTTCTGGCAAGGTCTAATACTTGTTCAAACCGTTGGGTGTAATTGCTGTAAATGTACATTTCTCAGGGGGAAGGAGCATTGTCGAGCCTTGCTGTGGAAGCATCCTAGCTGGTCTGATGGGATTTGTAGATTCCTGCTCCCAGCTCTTTTGTAACTAACTCAGAATCGCAGCTCCTTCTGCATGTGAAGCCCTCGAGCAGCACTGTCATGATCCGAGTGCTGCAGGAGGGCTGCTGGCTGCAGCAGGAGCCCAGGAGCTGCTCAGAGGGCTGGGCTGCCCACTGTCGGGCCGACAGCAGTGAGTAGTGCTGCTGGTGGGGCAGGGCTGCATGCAGGAGTCGGTGTCAGGAGCTCTTATTGTGGAGGTTTAAAAGAGCTGCCTGATTTTCTCAGGCTGCGGTCCTGCGTGCCTACATTTGCCTACCTCCCTCTTAAGCAAACGGGGTTTCTCTCTTTTCTGAAAGTAAACGTGGCTTAAAGTTTGCAAATTTGATACTTTCTCAAGCATTCCTTCAGGCAAGAGCAGGATAATGAGAGAATTTTGCCTGTGTCTGGAAGGCTCCTGGCTCCGAGGAGCAGCCCGCGGGTTGCTTGCACTTCCTGCTACGTGTTGGCGTTTGCAGACGCTGTGCTGCGCTCTCAGGTTCGGCGGCTGCGACGGCTGTGAGGGGGAATGCAGAACATCGCCGCTGTGTCCCCACTGGGGCTGCGACCGTGGATGTTTGTTTGGCTGCTTGTAAAATTTGTCTGTAGACTTGGGTAGGTGATTGAAAGCACAGGTGTCCGAGACTGAGCTGTGTAAACTGTGAGACTCCTGACAGATGATGATGCAGAAGATACAAAAGTGAAATGCTATAGGCTTCGTTTTCTCTGCTGGACTCAGTATTGTCTTGCTGCTGTGTTTGGCAGGCTGAGCATCACGGTGTTACATTTCTTGCTTGTGTGATTGCTTCAACCTTTGTACGTGGGAAGTCAAAAATCTAAAAGTGAGCTCAGCAAACCGCACATCCTCAGAAAACGTTCCAAAAGAGAACGTCTCCTGGCAGAAAGTAGTCTTTAGCACTGAACTGATTGCTCTGTCTTCAAATACCAGCTCTGTTAGCTGTCCGCAGGGAGGAATCACGTAGCAGGTACCTATGGAAAGCTCTTACATGTGAGCGAGAACTGTGAGAAATGCATTTTGTGTTTAAACCACAAGCTCGATGCCGCCCAATTGTGTATTGCTCTTTCTAGATGTTTTCCTTCACAGTGAAGCTGCTGCTCCAAAATCCTTCTCATGCAGTTGCTGGTTTGCATTGGTCAGGGAAATGACCTTCTGGGCTCCACGGTTCGGATGAAGTGTCTGAGGAGAGCGGGGTTATCCCTGGCCTTGGTCGGGAAGCTTCAATGAGAGCACACGGTTCCCCTCGGTGCCCGCAGGTCCGTCACGCTGGCACCACGCTGTCCTGATGCCATTAAGCCGATCCAGCTGCCAGCTTCTGCTGAAAGCGGATCTGAGCAGGCTGCGGTTAATGGCCGAGGGAAAGGAGATCGCTCTCAGCTGGATCAGCTCTCTGGTACTGACTTGCTCAGCAACCTGGTGGTGTCTGTTGTCAGTTGCTTTTAGGGTGTTCTAAGGGCCCTGCGAAGCACCCAGCTTTGCCATAGGTGGGGCTGGGCCTTGTGCCAAGCCCATCTTCCGCTAGGGAGGAAAAGCCTCCAAGTGAGAATTGGCTCCAAGTTTCCTGGGTTCCTTTGGTTTCCCCTTGAAGGCTGTCGTGAATCATCAGGCCAGGCCCTTTTGATGAAGCGTGCTAGGCTTTGGGATGGGACATGCAGTGGCTGTGGGGCACCGCTGCTGGCTCACGTGCCGCCTGGTGGGTTGCAGGGGGATTAGTGGCAACTTGTGCACTTGCATTTTCTGGTTTTCATTCTGCTTTTGTGACCGACAGCCTGAGCGAAGCCTTTGAAATGAAATGGGACGAGTGCTGCTAGATAAGAAAGCCTTTACTCATGTTAAAAACAGCAACAACAGCAAAGAGAAATATCTATGGACTTCTCTGTCAGTTATGAATCTCACTGCTGATTTCTCACCTTGAATCACATCTGGTGCACTGCAAAACAACCTCGTGCACATTGTAGAGTCGCTCCTTCTCTGGATGCCTGTTTGCAGTCTGTGCTTCTATCTGTCAAGCACAGGTAATCTGACAGCCGCAGGTCATCTGACAGCATCCGTGCTGGCTTCTCATTGAAATTCTCACGGCTGTATTCCATTGGTTGTGCTGCATGGCCTTTAGAAAGAAGCATGGTCCCAGGCACCACGTGTCAGTGCTAATGGCAGCAGTGTGTCTGACCCATCTTTGAAAAATTCTTGCATGGAAAAAAACGCACCACGCCAACCCACGTCGTGCATCTTTCTGATAGATGGCCAAGAATTCTTTTATTGTATTCCACATCTACATGTTGGTTTTGTTTTGAGTGATGAACTTAGAACAGTTAACTTAAAATATTTACTTTAGATGACTTCCGTGAGCCTGCTGTTTTTCTGTAGGTGTGTAGCCTGGAATACAGCCCTCAGTAACACTGACATTTTTAGTTTTGCAAGACTTGTCTGAGGTAAGGAACGATGACGTTGGTTTGTGCTTGTTGGGTGTGTAGGACAACAACCTCCCCTGGAAGGAATTACTAAATGATTTAATTGTTGTGGAATGCTGTCCCATTAGGTGCAAAAAAAAAAAAAACCAACAAAAAACAAACCCAACCATCGAATGCAACAGACCATTAGAAATGTAGTGCTTGATTAAAAGGGTGTGAAGCGACTTTTTAAGGCTTTGGAATTAGTGCTGTTGGAAGAACGAGGTTCTGTTTGTAAATTATCCTTTTGGGGGTTTCTCTGAGGAATTAAAAGCTGTGCATGTGCGTTCCCCAGTTTGCCAATCAGTCAGTGAGCAGAGGGCAGTTACGTTGCTCTGTTGCTGCTCCCGGTGGTGAGGAGAGCTGAACAGCTCCTGTTTGAAGAGGGATTTTGGCAGACGTCATTTAAACGCAGGACCATTGTTACTCTGTTCATTTTCATCGGGGAATAAAGATAGTGCTGGCTCAGGGCTTGCTGAAGCCGGAGGAGGATGCAGCAGAGGCAGCTGGCTCTGGATTCGGGCCATCTTGCAGCGAGGTGAAACACGGCAGCCAGCAACAAGAGCATGCGTGCCGTGCTCATCCTGCCGTGCTTTATGGGGAGACTGTTGCACCAATAATCCCTACAGGCACACGCTTGCATTTTGTGTCAGGGGAGCAGAGCGGTTCAGCACGGCCATCGCCTCGGATAATCGCAGCCAGAGATGCTTCCCCGTGCCTCGGAGGTTCGCTCGGAGATAGCAGGGCGGT